AAACTGGACGCCACGAATGATGTGGCATCAAGCATGTCACAGTTCGGTAGATGGTCCATGGTCTTGGGGCCCTGCTCACACTCAATCGATACTTCATTGTTCATCCAATAGAAATCATTTTCGAATCACTTAATATATTGTCATGTCCGCATATTTCAATAGGTAGCGGTAAAAAATATGTATATAATATATCTATATTACATAGCTTAGACAGATAGCGAGATGTGATTGGTCCAGAGCTTGTCACGTGATATCAATTGTCAGGATCTAAATTGTTAATTTTTTCCTGGCCGGTCACTTTTCGGTGTTATATTAACCAGCTGGTGAAATGAATATATTTTTAATCAATGCATGTCGCCCTCTTGAGGACTGTATGTCACCAATTACACATATTACACCATTATCAAGGGTCACTTGTTTCCCCCTTGAAATTTCTTTCCCTAATTTTTTTTTAAAGATTTTTTTTTCTTGAATTATCTCAAAATATTATTTTTCAGTCAATTTTTTTTTTTTGCATTTTTGCACACACAAAAAAAAAATGAAATTTTTTTCGAGCAAAACAAAATATGGACCCCCCCAAAAAAATGAAACCAAGGCTATCTAATATAAAAGTTATTGACTGGCAGGGGGTATATACATTCTTTGTACCTGAAGGGGAGTTATATTTGCCCTCAGCACTGTGAAAATATAACCACTTGGGGAAATATAACTCGCTTCAGCAGTCCAAATCATGTTATATTAAAAACCCGCCAGTCAATAACTGTAAATTTACGAATATATATATATATATATATATATATTGTGCAGTTGCGAACAAGAGCCTGTTCAGCTATTAACAGATAATTGTTGACAGCTGGTCGCACCAGCAGCCCCTGTAAGGATAGTCCAAAGAAGGGCAATCAAATTGGTTCGCTTCTGATTTTGGAAGTTAGTAGTTGCGACCGGGTTTGTTGCTCTTTTCTTAAATTGCAGCCACAACAGGATATCCATGCAGTGGACCAAGAATATTTGGTAACTGCAGCTCTAGCGTACGGGGAGGTATTGAGGTGACCAGTGCAACCGTGACAATCGACTCTGGTAGCAGCGTCGATGCCACTGAAGCAGCCAACAACATCATACAATGCAGCGAAAAGGCCTGCACGGATCTGGCTTTTTTCCTACTGGACCACTACTCAAGGCAGTTCTGTTTCACCTTGGATACTACTTACCCCAGTACTCCTTCCCTCACAGCAGCGATTACAGTTTCTTATTCAGGTAGAAACACCATTTTGTACATGTTATACGGAAATTCATTTGGTATTAAGTTTAAAGTGGGGAGTTTGATAATGGGGCTTATTAATATGTGAAGGTATGGTGGTTTGGTGAATATGTCCCCAGACTCTGAGGCTGTTCACACCGCAAGGGGGGGGGGGGGACCGTGGATTCACGGTCCGCCCATTGGCATTCGCCGGATTTACACCGCAGTGAGATAGCGCGGTCTATCGTAGTACTCCCTTTTTTGTGAGGTCCTGTTGCCATGACGCGTGACGTCATGAGGTCAGAGCGGTCAAAGATTTCGCGCGCTATTAAAATTTGGAGTGTTGAGTTGTACCGATTCAGATTTAGATCGCACCAAAATAGATAAAAGTATAAAATTCCCCGCGTGTAGAACGATGACTTCCGGCGTGCTATCGTAGCTCGGGTTCACACCGGCAGAGATAGCGCGGTCTAGTGCACGCTATAGACCGCGCTATCTCTCGTGGACCACCCCCAAGAGGTGCTCCAGTGGCACGCCGTTTTGGCTCGCCGTGGCTCGCTGTTGGACGGACCGAAACGACGTTGTACCTTCCACACCGCAGAGATAGCGCGGTCTAGCGCGCGCTAGACCACGCTATCTCTGCCGGTGTGAACCCGAGCTACGAAAGCACGCCGAAGTCATCGTTCTACATACGGGGAATTTTAAACTCATTCTATTTTGGTTTGATCTGAATCTGAATCGGTACAACTCAACACTCGTAATTAGTAATAGCGCGCGAAATATTTGACTGCTCTGACCTCATGACGTCACACGTCATTCCAACAGGACCTCTCAAAAAAGGGGTGCTACGATAGACCGCGCTCATTGCGGTGTGGATCCGGCGAATGCCAATGAGCGGACCGTGGGTCGCGCTACGATAGCGCGATCCACGGTCCGCCCACGGCCCCCCCCCCTTGCGGTGTGAACACGCCCAATGAGTCGAGTGAGACAGAGTGAGAGTAAGAATGTTGATGGCCTGGCCTAGTGTTTCATAAAGATGTATGTTCGTCTTGTTATGCATGATTATGCATATTATGGTAAGCCAAATGGGTGTCTCATTCATTTTTAATCGCATTATTTAATCATTCATGATGAGCTTAAGTTGAAATATGCATGTCATTACAGAGTCTATACTAGCTGAAATCAAAACAGCTGAAAAGTTATACTTATAATCATGCCAAAGTATACTTACATTCTCCCTTTGTATCATATGGATAATCTGCGGCTCGCTGACCGCTGGCTAGCCTCCAGGCGCGGATCCAGGATATCTTAGGGGGGGGGGGGGATTTGAAATTATGCGAGCCAAATATTGGTACGTAATGGTGACACCGGCGGTGGCGAAATTAGCCGAATCGTTTGGGGATGGGAAGCTCAGGGGGTATAGGCATTTAATTACATGCCTCAGCTGTTGCTAGTACCATATGTATATTCCCAGGACAATGCTGTCGGATAAAGCTGTTGTTTGTTTGATGATTTTGCTCGTTTGTAATGATATGTACCCGATGTCTATTTTAAAATTGTAGTACTTCGTTATTTTATTATGTAATCACAGACACATGCACAGCCCAATTGAGGTAACTTTCTCTTTATAAGTGAACATGCCTTCCTATACTTATTTCTCTCCTCGTTTTTTTTCTTCTCTGTTCCATTTACTATTTTTGTTCTTTCCTATAAACTTTCTGTTATATAAAATGTAATTTTCATAATAATATCTATAATGTTCTTTCGGTAACTGTGTTAATTTATTATGGGCGTTCCCAACTCCAGCTATGCTTCCCGGGTTTTCGCCTCCTTCCGTATCTGAATTATTTACTGTATACTCTATGTTGAAATAATTGTATATTGTGTTTCATATTGTTCTGTTGAGAAGAAAATAAATGTTAATAATAATACTTACGGTCAGATGGTGTGGGGTCCCGGGGGGGGGGGGGAGACCCCAGAAGCTCAGGGGTTTTGAGCATTAAATTACCGTCAGATTAGCATCCAGGGGTCCGCCTTAGGGGCAGAGCCAGCAGAAGTCGAGGGGTTTTAGGCAATTAATTACGGTCAGATGAGCATATTTTGATACCTTAAGTGACACACTGGCAAGTCACTAGGGTTTTAGGCATTAAATTACCTTCAGATGAGCACCCAGGTGCCCGCCTTGGGGACGTAGGTGGAATTTAGGGGGCAGAGCCCCCGGAAGCTCAGGGGTTTTAGGCATTTAATCACGGTCAAATGAGCAAATTTTGACACCTTTTTGTTTTTGACAAAGGCAGGTCACTATTTTTCTTTCTTTCTCTATGAATTTGCCATTTCCCGACAAACGCATAAAAAGTATAATTTAGTAAACGTTGAGGAGAAATCTCGGAAAATTATGTCATTTCAGCAACATTTATAAACCACCGGTATCGAATTAGAAATAAACCACGCTTGAATTATAATTATCTCCTTCTTTTCCCCCGCTTCTTTTCTTATTCCTCTTCTTTCTTTCCATTTCTCTCCTCTTTCCCTTGTTTTCCTTCTCTCTCTTTTTCTTTTTTTATTGCGGGGGGGGGGGGGAGGGGGGAGGCCAAAGGCCCGCTTGTTTTAAAATTGATGCATGAATGGCTCGATTTGGTACATAATTTTTGCCAAATTAAAAAGAAAACAGTCTTAAGTTCAACTAATAGAAACAAGAACGCAGGGGGGGGGTCTGACGGGGGATGTGCCCCCTCAGAAGTTGAAGATTTTATTGAAATTGATGCATAAATGGCTCGATTTGGTGCATAATCTTTGCCAAATCAAAAAGAAAACAGTTCAACAGGAACAAGAAGGCAAGGGGGGGGGGGGGTGGGTGTCACCATATTTTTCAGTAGAGTTGTAATATACATGAATTTGTCGTTTCCATTGAACAATCAGCCATGTCGGGTTTAGGAGATACAAGGGATTAATTTGATTGATTTCAGTTGGTGAAAGGTTTTTCATCGTAAACCAATGTATGGAATTCCGGTAATGTGAATGTAATAATGACGTGTCTAAATCTGATCGCCTGATTTGGCTTGCCTTTTCTCTCTTTTTCCCTCTAGCTTCTCTTTTCCTCTCTCCCCCGCCCTCCCTCGAATATTTTACATTTTAGAGTTCTCTTACTCCTTCTCGTCCCCTTCCTTCTACTTCTTTTCCTCTCTTCTCCTTCTTTTCCTTTTCTTTTCCTTCTCTTTTCCTCTTTCTCCTCCCCTTCCTCTTCCCTTTTTCAAAATGACAGGGGGCCGCTGCCCCCCTGCCCCCGTTGTGGTGCCGCCCCTGAAAGAAGTAATAGTAGTAGTATTTGTTTCATCCATTTACTAAATTAGTCGAGCATACATATACGCAGAGTTAACCATAGAGTTACACAGCAGATTCTGGCCTGAAGCAGCTTTTTTGCTATTAGTCTCTTCTCAATGACAATTAGCATTATTTTTTAAACGATAGCGTCAATTTACGTGAGCTTTCGCAGATTGCATATAGCAAATCAACAAATTGTTGGGTCACGTAACCCAAAACTTGTAGATTAGGGTGACCTGTTTCACTAGGGCGCAAGAAGTGAACGTGATACAGATACGTGACTGTTCTTTGCAAACCAATTCAACTAGTCTAACATTTAATTGACGAGTAACACAGTCTTCACATTTGCAAGGAGTATACAGTTGTTAACTGTACTTGTCATTGTATACATACATTTTGATTTTAAATATTTTAAAAATATATATTGGCAATCCGTAATTCTTCATTTTGTATGACGTAGAATCTGGTATGAGCCAGACCCCTTTTGAGGCCACATTCGCTGGATGGGATGATAACAGCTTTTTCAATGGCCCCTTAGGCAGCTGCACCACTTTTACTGTCGAATCCTTAACATCGGGCCCAACCGCAACACCATCTGTGGGCTCAAGTCTTAATCAATATCACCACGGTGACTGCAACGAGCAAGCCGCTGTGTCAACGCCCTCTGCTACGACGCAGCCGGCAACGACGCAACCGGAAACAACACAACCGACTACGACGCAACCGGTAACGACGCAACCGACTACGACGCAACCGGTAACGACGCAGCCGGCAACGACGCAACCGGAAACAACACAACCGGCTACGACGCAACCGGAAACGACGCAACCGACTACGACGCAACCAGTAACAATGCAACCGACTACGACGCATTCGACAACGACGCAACCTATAACAACTCAATCTGCTACGACATCGCGTGTAAGTATGCTAACAAAGACTCAAATCAACAAAATGATAAATTATCATTGTGACTATAATTTGTTGATTTAGCCTGATTTTCCTTCTGCCATTCAGGAGAACGTGTTTTTTCGTAGGATGGCAATCTACGCAATGTCTTAGTGTGTCGTCTGAGCAAGTACGTGTTCATTTATTACATTCATTAACAAAAGAAAAACATGTTATAAGACTCACCACCACCTGATATTTCTTTAGCATTTGCTAAAGCATTAAAAGGCAAAGAACAAACTTAAAAAACTTATTGCTGCTGCCAACACCAATCGCATATCTATATTTTCCCGCGAAACTTATAATGCGATTCCTTTGTGAAAATTCAAACTCGGAACTTAACCAAACTTAACCCTAATACTTACCTTAACTCCAGTCCCCGAACTTTAACCTAACCCTGATCCTTATTCACAATTAATTTGTTTTTATTGCAATTATGAAGTGTTCGATAGTTTGTTATATAATACATCTTATGATAAGAAAATAGCCTCAGACGCTATTTGCTTTTTCATCATTTTGTTATAACTCTTCTAACTTATACTCTGTTTGTCAAAGCATTCGCTTGGATCCAGCTGATGCATGTTCCTTGTCATTGTTCAACCCCCCCCCCTCCCGACAAAGACATCTTTCAATGAATTTTGAAGATTTTTAAAGACTGCCTGACCGGCTGAAAACATAATATCAACAGGATTGGAATGATCATTTCTTTCTTTTTCATGATAAGGGTACTACTGTTGCTGTTGAAGGGCGTTGTGAGACTTTCAAAATTGGAGGTAAGAGCTTCACACGTCGACTTGTATTGTATTTTCCATTTTCTAATAAAATCAATTAGGGGGGGGGGGTAGGGGTATGTTTAGAACATTATGTCACTATTCAGATTCACTTGTTTTCAAGTTTGAACACTTAACAGGTTGTTGTATTGTGTGAAAGAGCAGGAGTGACCTAGCAAGATTATCAAATTTGAAAAATGAAATTGTGCATTCTGGAGCATCCTACAGCCCGCCATGTACAAAATGTATTGTCAAACTGTTGTCTCTTTATGTTTGTTCTTTTAACCACATTTCAGCCACGCTGGAGAACTGCCACCCTCGGGTATCCCTCTGCAGCAACCCTGACTTCAACAGCAGTGCCATTACAGTGGTGAGTGCAACCTTGCGGGTGTCTGAGGCATCACCTGTCGATATCACCCGACTCGCACAAAACATCATCGCTTGCAGCCAGCCTGCATGTGAGGGCGCCCTGTATGAGGTCATTCAAATGTACTCCAGGGTCGAATGCCTGAGCGCAGTGGATGGGCCAAAGACAATTTCCATCGAAATCGAATACACGTGTAAGCATGGATGAATTATGTTACTTTGTCGAGTTTCACGTGGCTTCTATGCCAATAAGAATGCTATTTGGCAAATAACCTTTGTTTTTTATTTGGTTTTTACGCGCTTGCCGTTCAAACTTGAAGGTTTACGCTATTATGCAATTATAAATTCTTTTGGCCAATCGACATTATGTGGAGTACTTTGTTCATGTACGTGAAATAAATATCGTTGCAATCCTTATAATTTAGTTGATCAAAGAGTATTTCCAAGATATTTAAAAAGACTCATTCGGAAGAAACATTCATGTCGTAAAATAATGTTTGCCTTTTTATACGCATTGTAGAATATGAGCTTCGGGACACATGTATAACCTTTAAAAACGAATGTTATATCAAGCAAACAATTAAATTACCCACCTGCCAATTCCAATAGTCCTCCGGAAATGTTATTTATTGTACAAATGCGAACAATTGCACCTCAGGTATCAACAGACAATTATTGACAGCAGTCCCTGTAATATGAGTTCCGAATATGCCAACTAAATAAATTCATGCCTGCCTATTAAAATGATGCTATAATGTGTCAGTAGTTAAAAAAAACTAAAAAACTTCTGACTCATGTATTACAACAAAAGAAATTTGTGGAGCACATAATGTACGATTGTGTAATTTTACACTGGTTGTTTTCTTTTCTAATGTGTCTTTTTAGATGAATCCTTTACATTTAGTATCCAAACGAACAGCCTTTTCACCATTGATGAAGACGGTCTGCACAGCGAGCATTGCGATAATCTCTACTACGAATCGAGGCCCAATATGACTTCAAACTCAGTGGAATACCCCTTCAACTGCTCTTTACTTGACGAGTCGGTGAGTTTATCGCGGCTCGTGTCCAGTTTCAGTAGTAAAAAAAGAAAATTTGAAATAAACATGTGAGTCTCATGTTATTCTCCTAACTTGTATGAAAAGGTATGTGTAAGAGATCATTTGGTATTTTATTCATTATTGCCGCTGAATTGTGCCGAGTGTAAATATCTGCAAGGAACGCTCGATAACGGATAACTCCCCCATGCTAATATTTAGCACCGTTGTATAAAAACATATTTGCAATAATTATACTTAAGCTGAATGTATAACTGAACATATTCTTGAAAGTTCACGATGAGTGTAATTATCTGTAACTCTTTCTCAGTTCACCCCCTCCCTCCTCCCCCTCACCCTCTCACTGTCTCACCCAATCACTTTTAAGTCTCATTCTTCTCTTCTCCTTGTTGTGCCTTTGCATCGCCAGGGACCCCCTAATTATTTATTTGATCTTCATGGCCCACAAGGCATCAAGTTTCGCTTATTTTGGAGCTCTGACCATTTCGGTTTAAAATATGTTGATGTTTATTCGTATAATTTTGTATTCAGAACTGAATAAAAAGAAATGAATTGAAATGAAATGAAAGTGATATGAATTGACATATAGGAAATGTAACTCAAATCACAAACTGAATGTACTTTCTTTTCGGGGAAGGTGTTTATGCTTGGATGTTTGTTTCTTAAAAGGCAAATTAATTTTCTCCTTCTGCTTAACAGAGATACGGCGAATCATCAAGCGCAAGTACACCAGGATCCACAGTGGAAAAACGAGGTAGGAAACTGTAAATTTGTTCGATTCATTTCATCGAAAAATAATACAATTTCTTGATAATACCACTGACCAATCTATCTTTTGACATCGCGAGAATCGGTCAATTTTTAATTCAAGAGAGATATTAATGTTTATTTATTTCTGATTGTAAGTATATGTTATAGGTTTGGTCGCCCATATAGGTTCCTTTCCTGAGGTCGTCATCGAATTCAAGACTTTATATAATGTTATGATTAGATATATACTTTTGTTAATTATATATATGTACCTAGATGTTATTGACAACAAATGCAGAAATTGAATCGAACAAACAAATATTAATATATCATTAAAAGGCCTTGAGTGGAAAAGGTGAATTACAAGAGCTGGTGGGCACATTTCACGAGTTGGCGCCTAAAGAGGAGTTATGCAATATATCTTGTCATGGCGTTTCCCAAGTTTGTAAAGAAATAGTTTTTTTTTTTTTAATTCACCTAATAGGGTGCCCTCCGATGACAAAAGGCTTTGTCGCAGGAACATCGCTTGGATTTGAATCATGTGGTGCCACATTCATCATCGTATCCGACTCGCTTGATATGGCGGATGGTAAGTGGAATCATCTCACAGAGCGGAAAGATGATGGTCTAGTGGTTGAGCCCCCATCACACCAAACTAGTTCTCACTACGTTCTGCAACCGTCCTAGAAAATCACAAAACGGGTTGTTTCGGGGTAGAATGTGTAAAACTGTCTATAATACGATCCTAATCCGTTCATAAACAGTCCTTAATACGTCCAACTCGTCTGTACCCCGTCCACAGTCAGCTCATATCAAGTTCAGATCGGGTAAATTTGCCATTTCCAGGCAGTCCAAGCTAGTCTGTAGTCAGATTAAACCCGTTATTACCTAGTTGTACCTCGTTCCCAATACGAACAAACCTATTCTAAGTAGTTCAGAGACAGTTCAGCTCTTCCTCATCTCGTTCTTAGTGCGTTCAAACGCGCTCCTATATAGAGCGTGTGCAATCACGTCCTGGCTCATTGGTTATAAAACCCCAGCGCGTTCTTGCCATTCCTTCTCCCCGTTCATCTTCAATGCTTTAAGGTGTGCAAAACAAGACATTCAAGTGAAGCCCCCCTCACACCAAACTAGTTCTCACTACGTTCTGTAAAATGTTGCCTAACGGGCTCAAACTGTGTGCTAACAGAGTGAACGTAGTAGCAACTGTTTACGATTTATTTAAGAACTTTGTGCTCGGTTGATTTTATACATTCTAGTTGAACATAAATTATTTTTAGATGATTGGTACACTACAATGATGGCGGCGGTTATAGGTCAATTTCGTTTGCTTCCCATTCCCATTTCAGCGCAAGTAACCTTTGAATCCATGGACCAAAACGACGCCGTTGGCGGGGCCACCAACGTCCTGCAGAACGACATCGACCTGTCAGACAACCAACTACACCTCATCAGCTTGGTGATGATCATCGACATCGAGAATGGCAATACAAGCATTGATCTCAATGGCTCCGTGGTCATTGACTTCGCCGTGGATCTAACGGTGAGTTGACATTCGACGTAGTCTTAAATAGGAGGTTCAGTTGTAGTCAGTTAAAAATACAAATTGGATTTGTGGTTTCGTTGCTACATGTTTACATGTTGCCTGTTTGTGAACTCCCATACAAGCCTGCGTATTACTATATGTTATGCTCTTCACTCTATATGACTTTCTCAAAGATTTATTGAGTCAATGTTTCATCATTTTCATTAATGCTAAAAGTCAAGGTACATGTAATGTTAATTCTTCTTTTCCAGATATTCAAGCTTTCCCAATGATGACTGGAAAGCTTTATTCGCAAAACAATTGCATGGCCAATACTTAACTTTATCTTCTAATTCTGTTGACGGATTTTACTAGAAATCTCAGACATTTCACCTGCCTTTAAATAAGGGAATAAATGAGCCACTCTTCTGTTTTCAGTGAAATCCCGTGACATTCGAGAACTGATTGTGTCTGCCCTGTTACATTTGATTCACGACTGAAAGTGTAACCCAAATGTGTTCTTTGCCGCAAAACGCCTGTGCAACTACTACACCCCTTAATTCACCCAGTACTAAATGAACAATTCGTGCAAATACACTTTTAAATCAAAATTACAAAAAACTTTTGAAGTAGGCATCACTTTGCCCGTTATATCTTAATTTTTATGTAGAATTTACCTTTTCAATTATGTGCTATAATTACATTTCAATGAATTTTGTTTCTATTTTAGGCCGAAACAAATGCCATTCATTGTGCGTTTATCGCTAACGAAAGGTAAGTCCAATGCTTTTACGATGTTGTATTTCCCCGGGAAATCACCCTCTAGAGGAGTTGCAGTACCCCCATACGTAATTCCCCAACCTAAAAACCACCCCTTGACCGGGGGGGGGGGGGGGGGCCTTCAGCTCTTCATGGCAGTGACATACATTAACTGTTAGAGGAATGTTTATTCTCGTTTTCATTATGAAAAAACCCATAATCCATCCACATTCATTACGTACTCAATTACATGAGGCGCTGGTGCTGATATTTGTTCGATCGAGCGTCCCATTATACAGAGCATTGATTGGCTTTCATACAGTAGATTAAAGCCAATATTAGGGAGGCAAAGTCGAACCACACGAACATGATTGATTTATTGATCTCTACATCCAGATTCATCTATACGCATAACAACTCGGATTCAGTTGTGCTTGAGTTACAAAGATATACAATGTGGCCCCCAAAAGAATGCACATGAGATCTACAATTTCAACGTTATCATGGACACAATGTCTTTGGTTCTTCTTTTATTGGGTAGAAAAGCCTTTTTCAACTTGATGACACCAAGATTATTTTGGGTAATGCAAAATTCTGGTTATGTACAAATTTCTCACTGCTTGAGCAAAGTAATAGTTATGCTTTTGATCCCGATGCAAACAATATTTCGTTCATTGCATTTGACCATTTAATTTTTGTATTGCATTTGATCATTTAATTGATACATTGTATACAGTTCTGGAGTCTGGTCAAATATTGGTATGGAAGTGGTATTTGCAAACTCGTCCCTGGTACAATGCCGCAGTAATCATCTCACTAGCTTTGCCGTTCTCTTATCGGCCAAGGTAAGTATAACCCCGCCCCTCCTCGCCCGCTCGCTTTTTCTAGTGTATTCTATCTCAAACACTCTCTCTAAGTCTCCATCTCTCTCTTTATAGCCTTTTTTCAATAAATAATCTTTCTTTATCCCTTTCTCTGTCTCCCCGCCCTCGCTTTCCCCATCTCTCTCTCTCTCTCTCTCTTTCCATGTTTCTCTCCTCTTTGCAAGGCTGTCGACTCTCGCCGAATACCAAATGTGAAGTTTCTTCAGTTTAGTGACCGAGTGCAACAAGTACGACGCGAGCCATTATTTCTTCAGTTTGATACAAACAAATTAAGTTATCAAGACACAAGTGTGACAAACCCATACCGTACAAGATAAGCAATTCCACATCTAAGATAGACCACAGCTTCACACTGTCGACATTAGGTTTATAAAAATAGCCCAAATGCCACAAATTATCAAACTGTTAAACTCTAATGCTGAAAACCTGAACTTAGAGTTTTAGAACACACAAAATAGTGAATTGAAGATGAATGTTGCCTGTAAATGTGGAAACGTATTTTTTCTTTTGCCTCCAAATAACTTTTATGTTAATCAATGCCTTTCAAGTGGATTCCCACTGTTCATCTCTCTCTCTTTGTTCCTCTTTCACCCTCTCTCTCACTCTCTCCCTCTCTCTCTCCACTCCCTCTCCCTCACTCTCCCTTCCCTTCTCTTCTCCCCTCTCTCTCCACTTCCTCCCCCTCAACTTTCCTTCCATTTTCTCCTTATTTTCCTGCTCCACATTTCTTCCCTTTCTGAGTTTTACTGAGTTTTTTCATCGAATTATTGTTAAATAATGAATAGTAAATATGATGTTTTTTAAAAATATATTTAAACCAAATATCCGTAAATCATGGATGCAATTCAGCCATTGGTTGTGAGATGTTGATGAATAAATACCTTACTTTACCCTTACCTTATAAAATGATCCAACATCAATCCAAAATAGGTTATCCAGCTTGAAACTTCACTTCAAGATCCACAATTTATTGAAGTTTGGAACTTGTCCAATTCAGGTCTGCAGCTTTAAATGGTCTTGTGATTAGTCATGGAGACTTGAAATGGTCGGAAATGTAAGCCAGGTTTTTCGTGATAGTCAAGGAGACAATTCCACGATCTTGAGAAGCAAATACCGAATGTAAAGTAAATGTACGTAGCACAAGACGTGGACAAAAAATCAGCGGCTGTAACGAACAATAGCAAGAGAATGTTCATTGCATTATGCACCTGTTGGAAAATCTGGTCATTAATGGAATGCATGTTCGTAGATTCATTGCTTGAAATCTCAAGTAGCACTAAGCCCATTTAACTTTAAACAAATCAATTAAAAACAAAGCGAAAACATTTAGTTTTAATTATCTAATCGAATTTCTTTGTTGTGATGATAACATTCCCATGAAATATTGTACCTATATCTCATCATCGTTGTTCTTGTTGTTATCATTATTATAATTATATTTTGTATCATTCTTCTTCTTCTTCTTCTTCTAATCATTATTTATTTCATCATAATTATTGTTTGTCATTATCATTATTATTATCATCATCATTATTTTGTATTATTATTATTATTATTATTATTATTATAATCATAATCATTATTATTGTTATTATTATTATTATTATCATGACGAATACAACTGTTGCATGTTTTCATCTTTGCAGCCTCCTCAAGGGATACACGCAGTCATACAGAGTTATCTGTCTAGAGTCATGGGGGCGCTGTCCGTTTTGTCCCTCACGGTGGCCATTTGTATTTACTTTGCCACTGGGTAAAGTATAAACCAGGGCATCGTTTCAAGTACAGGTGTACCGAACTCCAGTTGAAACGTGTGTATTTACTGGACGGGTTCTATTGGATGTCGATGAACTTGAGCTTACGACGGTTTTGTGAAATTTTGCCTTTTCTCCTAAATTTAGAAAATCATTTTTTGATACGATATTAGACCCTGCGACAATTGCTCCGGGTATTATTCCGTCCATAGTATAAGGTTAAGGTCATTTTCTAGTTATCTTACAATTTATCTTACCCAATGTAAAGTTAAATTTGAGATAAGTTGAAAGGGGTAAAAATTAGACCAGGAATGAATGAAGTTGGGACGAAATAATAATTACCACCAACTAGTTAAGATAAAAATCTAATTGTTATCTGTTTCATACAGCACCTGGAAGCTTCTAAAGATTCAGATCCACATGAACCTAGCCATCTCGACAGCCTTGGGTCAGCTTCTCTTCATGACTATGGCAGAGATGACTTGGAATGTGGTAAGTTACCCCCCCCCCCCACTTATTGTTATTTAGGATACGCATATGCGTGTTCCCAGCGACCTCCTCCCCCCCCCCTTTTCAGCAAAAGTCCGATGTGTAAAGTCAATACGGGTCGACCTTTTTCTTTTGTTATACGAGCCTTGTTCAGCACCCCACCACCTTTTCAGCAAGAGTCCGGTTCGTAAACTCAATACGGGTAAAGCTTTCTTCTTTTCTTTCGAGCAGGAGAGTTTGGGAACACGCATGGTATCCCATGGGGGGGGGGTAAATTAGAAGTTATTCTTTAGGCGCTTTGGTATACAAATTTCTAATGAGGGGCACGATTTAAACTTTTGCCCAAGGTTGTCTCGAGACTGTACTGTGCCTCTCGACAAAGTCGAGGGGTATATTAACTAGTGAGGTATCAAAACAAGCAGGAAAGATCACCGAGGAGCTATACTTTACAATATTTGTTTGTTATATGCTCCGCATATCTTGACAAACTTGACATGCGTTATTACTTACAATTCCTCAATCATTTGAAAACTAGGTAAATCATGTGGGTAGACGATAACTCCGAGGTGCAAAGGTATTTTCTATTTTCCCTATCAATAATATAAAACTAAATCGTCGGGTTCGTTATCAGAGAAAGGGAATTTATAATAACATTAGTTTCCCCAATCTCTACTACTGGATCATCATTCATTTGTGGCAATCTTCAATGTCTTACATATACTCTGCAAGACCATTCCCGTCACTCTTAATTACCTCTTATCTAAGATATATAAATGGAAAGGCTAGGGACCCCCCTTTTTGGGACAGCTCTTATTTCATCGTACAAGCTATTCTTATGTATACATGTTTGCCTCCACTAAATGATTGACATTTAATGGATTTAATTGTACTTTTATTCTTGTTCCAGATAATTTGCAAGACCATTGCCGTCACTCTCCATTACCTCTTCACCTCCGCTCTCGCTTGGACGATGATAGAGGGCGTATTTCTCTATCGTACAACTGCCGTGGGCTTCAAGCCTCTACATATCGGATGGTTGAGTCTCTTTGCTTGGGGTAGGTAAAGCGTATTAAAGTAGAAATATACTAAGCAACCCCGAATATGACAAATTACATATCTACGAAAAACTTATGACATGGAGATGATGAATATGGAACTTTCTAGTAGCTTACTCAAATAGGAAAAGAATAACGAGCGATTTTCGAGCAGCCTTTCATCGTACCGCATCAACCCGAAAAAAACAGAGAGCGAGACACTATGAATATGACAAACAAAGAAAGCGGACAAAATATACAGTTCCTCAGGTAGACAAAGGAACATCCCTTCACTGCTATTATGTAAAAAGGTGAATATGCATGTGACACCTGTTCTACACATTTTTACATAATAGCAGTAAAGGGATGTTCCTTTGTCTACCTGAGGAAATGTATATTTTGTCCGCTTTCTTTGTCAGTCATTTTCATAGTGAGAGAATCTCTTTATTGTGACATCAATATCGGGAGAGAGCACACACAGATCACACACACACACACACACTGCAGTATTTGCATGTAATATACCAGTTCGTAGATACAAGCTGAGCATGCGCGGATTGATTTGCGCATGCGCATATAAAGGTCACTTGAACACCCACTGAAAATACTTCTGGATACATGCTCATGAAAGTTATGTAATCATTATTCATGCATGCACCTGTGATGCATTCTATTGAAAACAGGTGGAAGTAATCTTTTCAAGAGGGCAAACTAAGAATCACCTCCATGATTTTAGCTGTGATTATTCTAAAAAGGCGCAAAGTTGGATCTATCTATGTTTAAAAGAAATATGGATATTTGGGGTCATATGACCCATGTGCTAACTACGAACTGGTCTATTGTGCACAAAAGTATTTATTGTTTGAGTACAGTCCCCTGCGCGTCTTAGTTAATATATCGATTTCTTGAAAATGGTATCAATAACAAAAATGCTTTTAGGGACTCCAAATATCTTTTTCTTCCATATTGACAACCAAACCAACAAAACAATTACAAATATTTAGCGATAAAGAAGAATGCCAATCGTCATCTCGGCTGGCACTGGAAGTGAAATTTACGAAAAGTAGCATGCCGGATGCTCAGCCCGTTGGGCATGGCCGACGGCAATGAAATGTTGACGCGATCCGGCCCGATGTTGCTCTCTATGCCAGCCCTCCAGCCACGGCGACCGATTGTAAAATAAATGGGGAAATAAAGTATTGAATAAACATATAAAGGTCTACAGTCCATGCCATGTATTTGATTGATATCAATATTGTGCCCCAAACTCACCAATTTTCTCTATCATTCGGATCAAGTCTGGTAAAATCCATTCCCGCTCATTTCACACCACCGGCAGCGTCACCCTCTTCCGCCCCGTTTCCCTTGCCTCGGGTTCATGCTGGTAGGCTTGGGGGTAGTGCAGCTGCAGCTCTGCCTCTGCGTCCATGATCACCGTCACCGAGTTCATTCTCTTTTTCAAATTCTCCTCACTCCCCATCGTCGTTGCCCCTTTCACTACTAGAACTATCTTCGATCTCGATGTCGATTTGGATGATTTTGTACAAGATTGACCCACCTGACACACTTCGATGTGACCCACTTTTAGTTTCCCATTCATTTTCTACACAAAGGCATTTCCATTGGACAGATTCTGTGATGGGCTTTTTTGCTATTGAATATTCATGACATGAGCGCGGTCATCTTTTCGTCGCGCGAAAATCATTTATACTTTGTTACCCCACTCAACGCGTACATCCTGCAAGCGTTGAAAGTGACATTCTTGTAAATAATACAGTCCACCGCTTGTAATTTACTCGATAGTTATTTCTTTTGAAATCTTCCGCCGATATTGTGGGAACAATTGTACATGATATTAACGTCCCACCTGGACCCGCCAATGCTAATGTTTACAATTAAACTTGATTTATTTCAACACAAACAAAACGAAATAGGTCAATTTAATTATATATCATGAGTTTTATAAAGAAAATACTTACAATAGAGCAGTGGCGTATCCTGGAATTACCAAAACGTGCAATGGGGGGGGGGGGGGGGGGAGGCGCTAGGGCCTGTTGTACTCCCTGGATCCGCCAATGCTAGAGTTTACAAATAAACTTTGATTGTGCCCCAAGGCATAGTGCACAGTTAATACATTACCACCAGGCACTGCACAGCTAGGGTGCGCACGAACATCACTGCGGGGATGTCCTTACAAAAAAACTTAAGTGTCACTGACGTAAATAATATTTTGACGTGTCTTAAAAGTCTTTTCTAATAATCACAAAACTAACCCTGATTTAAATCGTGATGTATTTTCCCTTTAGGAGGCTCGCTAGTGGTGGTTGGAGTTTCTTTCGGCGTCCTGTATGATGGCTATGGTACTACTAAGTTGTAAGTTTTACTTGTAGTAAAACCTGATTAAATGTACACTTTGTGTCGCTTTGTTCTTTAATTTTCGCTAATTTTGCTCGATTTCGGCTTTCCGTTTTTTTCTTGCGGTAACTCCGATGAAGGCAAGACGAAATGCTTTAGTATGTCTATTTTCGTTGCTATTCTTTGTTAAATAACGATCGTGTAGGACAGCATAAGCTACCTTTGAATGAGGCGAAGGAGAAAGAGACAGAGGAAGAGAGACACACACACATTCACACACGCAAACACACATAAAGATAGATAACTAAAGGGAGACGGGGAGGACAAAGAGTGAGAGACAGAGAGGGAATACCACATAAAACAATTTTGATGTAAACTAATGGTGAAAATCATCCCTTTCTTTACCACCATGAATATTACTTTTCTCTGCACGGGAATCATACATCCGATAATGGCGATCACCACTTATGATCTGACAATTTTATTCTGTCAATGATGCATGCATGATTATAATTATAGGATGAGAGCTTGTGTTGCGATTTAAGGGTTAGGTTAAAGGTTTGGGTCCAAGGTTCATGCTCGTATTTCGATTAGGATTGGAATATCTGAGACCGATTTTCGCAAAGGTTTATTTAGATAATATTAGTGGCACTAAATAAATGTGTTAATACAAAGAATAAGTTGAAAGCATAACAAAAACTATATTTAATTATTTTGTACTTTTCACAGTTGCTGGCTTCGTCACGATGACTACACCATTTACGTATTTGTTGGATGTGTATTCGCAGTGCTCTTGGTATGTATAGAAACAAATCCTTCATTAAATAAAACAAAATGGCGCTTTGGTTCGATGTCATAGTGCATTATTTAGCCATGGATGTTTAGCATGTATTTCTATTTTGTGTCATCCCCTCCCCAATAGTACAAGTTCTGGATCCACCCTGAGTATTTCTATCCCTACGGACATGACAGAAACAACATATTTTCCATGCGAAGATGAAAGTTCAATTGTGTCTGTTTCGTCAAAAGACGAATGTAGTTGTTTGGGTACAATATCATCGGTTAAGAAGCATAAAGGGAGGTGTCCGACACTATCGATGCCGAAATGCAGAATACGCCTTTAATTTTAAAAAGTCCTCATTCTTCTTTTGCAGTTCAACTCGATGATTCTGTTCTTTGTGATGAAGTCCTTCATGGCACTCAAGGCCAACGCGAAGAAAGACGAGATAGACAAAATCAAGTAAGTCATCAAACACATTTCTACTTGTCATCCTCATGTTCATTGTATCAAAGGCATGGTATTCTACTGACACGTACAACTTCAGATGTACGTATACTCCGATCTGTTACTCACAACGTCACAATTTGTCGACAGCCATCTCCTACATTGATTTAACAACTAATTGAGAATACATTACAGCAGTGGTAGCGATGTTGGTAAAATACCCTTCCTTACAACACAGAAACCAATATGCAACACTGAATAATTTTGCAAAATATAGATGTAGTTACATCTTATAGTCTAATAGGTTCAATGATCAATAGCTGGATTGAACGACCCCCCCCCCCCCATTGACTACTATTTTGTATTTAAATGAGGCAACAGTAACTACGTGCCCCCCGCACCCTCCCCTCATTCTATTGCCATAATCTCTCGACCGGTGCCCCCCATCCCCCCTTTTAGGGATAGCGACCCAAGAAACGGTACACCACTGACTGCTCTGTTTGTGTGTTTAATTAGGGCGATGGCTCGTGCACTGCTGATTCTACTTCCGATCCTTGGTCTGACTTGGTTCTCGGGGGCCGTCACCAGCATCACCACATCTGATGACGTCATCTTCTGTCAGTATCTCTTCACCATCTCGTTCGGTCTGCAGGTTTGTTGCCATTCAATATATTAACTGTTTCAAATCAGTTTTGATCATTTTGCACGTCAACACTGAAACTGAATTCTTTATTACATAAGTGGCTATCGCGGAATTCGTGATAGATAGTGGGTAAAGAAGTTCAAACATCTTGGAGGTGGAACAATGACCTCCCAATGAGGTGACCAAAGATACAATGTAGCATCGTGCAAACATTAGGCCTATCCGTGCATACTATGGAAGGGGCTGGGGAGGGGGGGGGGGGCAGAAAGGGCACACGAATTTAAAACCCTCCCGAGATCCTTTAATATTTGTGTCAAAGCTTAATGGCTAAAAGCAATGTCGGTTTTAATAAGAGCCGGCAGTCGTGAACATTGAACATACTGTTCTACTGAAATCTGTATTTCTACAGTACTATAATAACCAATAATCTATTATTAGAGAGCGGGAATGTAATGCAATCCTCTATGAGGTGATCGATTCTTCCGATATATTAATTAAATTAAAAGCCATGATTCTCAATCAAATGTTGTAAGAAAATGTGAAATCAGTACAGTCGATTGCGCAAGGGTCCAATATAATAAATATGATACATTTCATGAGACCTTAACTATATCAGATACCAATCTTCTTACTCGGCAAGTGAGGAGGACCTTATGTGAATATCATTGTTAATCGCGGTGCATATACATCATGACAAGAAGCATCGTCACGGTGTCTAGAATGATGAATTGATTGCTTACTCTAAACATTCTTTTCATATTCTTGTCTTATTTCTTCCTCTTCTTTCCTTCATTTTTTAGGGGGTCTGCATTCTCATTTTTCACTGCCTCCAAGTGCCAGTCGTAAGTTTTTTTAATTTTTTATCACGATTATCATTATCTGATTATAAGTAGTATACACATATTTTTGGTGTCGGTCTGAATCTATCAAGCTCTTAATGAAGTTAAATTGGTTACCAGTAAAGCATATAATTGCATTCGAAATATGTTTGCTTGTTTACAAAGCATTAATAGGGTCCAGCCCCAAATTATCTGTCTGCATTTTTAAAAAAAAGTACACAAGACAAGCTGCTTTAATAAAGCTAACTCATATTAAAACAAAGTACCTCTTGGAGACTGCGCTTTCAATTGCGTTGCTCTAAAGCTCCGAGATAATCTACCTCTAAACATAAGAAAAGCCTCATCTGTTGCTCTGGTCAAAGTTTTGTTAAAGACGCCCTTGCGTTAAGGAGCTTTTGAACAGTATTTATTTTAATTGTTTGTCGGTAAAGTAGCACTGTTGGGAGTTTTGTTTCAATCACATCGCAGTAAAGGATGTTTATATAGAAGCTGCGCTACATAAATTGCTCCAATAATCATTATTATTCTTGAAAATGGAATAAAGGAGGGATTAATGAAACTTGCCTTTTCCACTATTTTGATATGTATTTAACATGCCGATATCATAAGCCATATCTTAATTGTAGCGATTGGTTTTGAACGTTAGCTAAACACTTTTTTATGAAGAATTTTGATCGACTTGATTGAAGGTGGAGCTGAATTGACTTGATTTTAAACCAAAAATTCTTTTTATTCTTCATGTGTTTTCAGATAAAAGCGACTTTAAAAAATCGATTTTATCGACGAGTTCAAGACAGCTCATGGATATCGAAATCTGGAGCTCCAAGACCTACAGCTACTTCATCGTTTTGAACACCAGATAAGCATTAGCACGCTTTGCAAAAATCATGGTGTTAAATCTAACACCACATCGGTTCTTTACATTGTAACATCATATAAGAACACCAGTATCGAATTAAACTCATGTCATTGTTAAGGTGTCATTGTCTAGCGGATACACCACCGAACTGTGAATCGCATGGTTCCCGGTTCCCAAATCTTGTGTCGGCAATTAATGATTTACTGAAAGCAAGAGGAAATTACTGGAATGAAATAAATGTTTACTTGCCTTATAGATTCACCTTGAAAAAACACGCAAAATCTGCAATCATTGTTACATAATTATATTGCTTGAATGGACTTGCCTTTGTACATAGTATAGATATGATAGATATGTCATAAGAAACAGTACATATCGCATAAGGCGAGGCGTCAAAAATATCGATACCAGCAGGCTGCCGCCTCACGTATTGGCGCATCGCGGCTGCAATTACGGCCGAAGCCTGGCTGGGGCAATTATTTTTCACTTAATAGCCCAGCCGGCTTGCGCCAGGCTGGGATCTGAGGCTCGGTTTCCATTCAAAAGGCGGCAGCCGGCGCATGCTTTTGAATGCGATTTCCTACCGCCAGCGGTAGCCGGCTGAGCTAATTTAAAAAATGCAGCCAGGACGCACAAGTGCAGTTAGCTGCCGCTGGCTGGTATATTTATTTTTGACGCCTCGCCTAAATACATGTAGAGATTATACACATATATTCCTAAAGTCACAGATTACTTAAATACCAAGCATTGCGTTGTCAAGATATTGACTTTGATGAAAAACATATATTTTCTGGTTCTACAATGTAGTTGGTCTATGACAAGAAATATTATTAAGTTTCCTCAATTAATACTGAAAAGTAAGATCGAATAAGGTAATAGGTCGGGGGAGTCTGCTCGCCCGTAAGTTAATTACGCATTGTGAGACCTTTCCTTAAAGATCACTACTTGACAACGCTTTAGTGTTGACGATTTCTGTATTATAACCTTCTTTTTGTTAAATGTCTGGGCACAATTTAATATACTTTAAAGACATTCGATGTCGCTCATGTTGTTACCAAATGCCTTTTAGGGCAGTGTATCTTACCGACATCGCTACCACTGCTGTAATAGATTTTCAATCGCGCAATCTTTCGGTGAAGGCATACATAAAGCGATTTCCGGTCCCTACACTGAAGCATCATCAATTTGTGATGCACTGTGGGGCATGGCTGTCGACACATCGGGACACTGTGAGCAGCAGATGGCGATGTACATAAATCTGAAGAAGTGACAGTAAAATACCCTGCCTTTAACGTCACATATTTCCGCCCTTTTTTCTTACACATGACTGAATTTTGTCTGTATATACAACATTGCTCGTGGAATAACGTACCATCAGTTTTAAGACTTTGTTTTGATATTCCATAGCAGAAAATAAAATAAATGTACAGCATTGCAAATCTATAAATATTTACAATATTTTAGAAATAATAGATCTATATGACTTTACCCGCAGTACAAGTGTTTGGGTAAAATGTCATTACAGCCAAAAAATACAGTGTCACGATTTGCCTTACGTGTTCAAAATAAGTCTAATTTTATGAAAAGGACAATATGTAATACAAAAAATATAATGTAATTATTTTGAATAATCATCTGATAATGAACTATGTACTACTATATATATTTTTCAAAAAACTATTGTATAGTTTATGCCATATTCTATTTTCAAAAACAGTACAGAGCATTTTTATTGTTAAATGCATTATGATGGAATATTGTGCATAATTTTAATTGGTTTATTTACATTTCTCTCATATCAGATGTATATCTACTGTACATTATCATATTTGAATTCGATGGCAGAATGGCCATCCTTTGAGTTTTCTGTGCAATATTGTATTATAAACTATGCAGACATAAAGTGCTTTCTATAAAAAAAAAATTTAAAAAATAGTAATAGCTTTGCCGTGTTGCGTTTGCCATTAGTTTAACATAAGTGACCCGTTTATCAATATCAATAAGAAAAATAAAAAGAACGGAAAGATGCTTGGAAAATTCATAATTATGCTTATTTCACTATACAATGACAGAACAGCAACTCTTTTCAGTAATATATGCAGGTGTAATTTGTTTTAACCCTTTCCTGTACTACTTGCTTTTGTAATTATGAGATACATGTCGCATGGAAAGATGGAAATTGTTTAAGTATGAGCAAGAATGCTCATTCCTCATTATGCAGCCTGGCTTGCAGGGTTATAATAAAACATTTATTCCCCACATCTCCTACATGCCAGAACTCAGCATTATTTTTAAACACTAGTTTTGTTTGCAGTGTGTATAATCATTAAAGGGATAGTTGAGTTCAGTTTTCAGACTGCAAATGCCTTCAAAGTGCATGGTTATTGCTCTTATTTTTATCTATGACATTTCTAGTGCCCTTTTAGAACCTAAAATTGCTATGAAGGTAATTTTAGACCCCAACATGTGTGAAATTTAGCCAATACGGTCATACCAATTCAGCCCCACTTTACCCAAAAATACGGTGGCCTTTAATTAATTAATTAATTTATTAATTAATAATAACAATACATTGGCCGGATGGTTGTGCGTAATATAACCAACACAAAAAAGCCAACATCGGCATCGGCTGAAATACAACGTGTTTTCAAATATCGATTATTTGTGGTGGTATACACAAATATTAGAAAGCGTTATATTTATGTATATTTTAGCCGTCTCTGAACCGATTTTGATCCAACAAAGATGATTTTGTCATTTAAATTGTATGATCTTTCAAATTTGACACTCAGTTTTTCATTATCTCACAATTTTTTTTGTGTGTAGCGCCCTCTGCAACAGAACTCTATCCCTTTAAGCATAAGCTTTGGTCAAGTTGTTATATACGTCAGCTTGAATGCAACCCTAGCATTTCACACATTTTTGTTCAGGCCTCCTAATACAGACTTGCAATTATACAAATTGTTTAAGAGACTGTTTTATTGAAACTAAACTTATTTGAACTTTTACCTTACGTCATAAAATGCTCTCTATAACAAAAACCCTCTTGTGAATTTTTGTATGATAATCATTTTTCATTTCGCAGGTATCAGTGATTTTGACCCAAAATTATTAGAAGTATGTCCTAGTCCGCTTTTATTGGGCCATCACGTTTATTCAGAACTCATAACGAGCAATAAAGTACATATAAAGGGTATTGTCAATGATTCGAGATTGTTTTTTTCGGCTCCCCACGGTGTCAAAGTTAAAAGCCTTCACACTTAACATCACTTTCAGGGGGAAATACAATAAAACAGAGATGTTGTAAACTCAGGCTTCCCACAGTCGTGGAAAAAATATATTATTCTGGAAAGTTATGAAAACTGAAGAAGAAAAATCTCCCAACGTATTGGAAAGTCACAAAAATTGTTCGTGTTTGTGGACCACGTGTGACTATGACAGCCTTTTAGTTTAAACTGACGATGGGCATTGTATACGAAGGCCGTTTTTTTGCCGCAAACCATATACAAATGCTACTTATCTGGGGGGGGGGGGTGTTTCACAAAGACTAAGATCAACTTTAGGATATTCCTAACTATTGCAAGCCATTCATTCCACTGGTTACTCTTAATTGGTCTCTTAATTATGATCTTTAGATTATATTTTTATTCAATAATGAACTATCAACAAATGTAAACTCGGTAGATTTGTGACCACGATTGGTACGTCCTTGGGGAAACCGATGCCAGTAAATGATGAGAGAAAAAAGTGGCATGAACGGCCTACTAATTAAGTCCAACTTAAATTCGATCTTAGTCTTTGTAAAACACACCCCCGGATATAGAACAGCCAACAAATGGGTCATGGAAAGTCACGGAAAGTCAAGAATTTGTGTTTTTAATTTGTGTTGCAACCCTGAAACTCATTAATATAAATTGGGAAAGTAAATAAAATCTGAACCTCTTGAAAACAAAATTTGCGTATTCGTATTTTTGTGCCTTCTATTTCCTGTACATTTATATTTTACTGAACGTCATTGTGATTGTCATATGAATAATAATCAAATATAAGTTGCAAAACGTGTTCGATAGCATAACCAAACATCTAACAGAGTGTGCTGGAACAGCAGACTCTCACTCAAAGCTCTGGCGAGCCAATTAAAGGTAATACAAAGTTTTGGTATGGGGTCATGAATTTGGTTCAAATTAACATATTGGAAGCATATCCGATCAGGCAACAATGCCTGAAGCATTGTGGGCTGAAATCTATAGAAATTGCGGGTTAGGATATGAAATGGTAGTTGTATGCCACTTAAATTAAGGGAACTGGGTTACGTCTCTCTGGAGCCAGAAGGATATCAATATATATTACATAGCTTAGACAGATACCGAGATATGATTGGTCCAGAGCTTACAGTGCGTCCCAGATAAAACGAAACCGAGAATTATCGATGTTTTATCATAACTTAATCAAAATTATAATTAATAAATGACACATATTTGGAAAGCTCAGATCCTCCTCCTTCATTTGATGCAACTCATAATAATGTATATTTCACGCATGAGTGATTAAAATCAATTGGAAGAGAGGAAAGCAAAAACTCATTTGGCGGACGATATCTGAATTTCTAACAGAAAATCACATTTCTAAAAAGTTGAGTTTCTGCCCTTTTATATGGCACCGCAATCAGGAAAAAATAAACTAGGAATAACAAATTTCTGTTTGTTTAAAGTAGTGCTTGCATTTCCATAATTTGATTAAACGAATTCGTTTTCACTGGCTGCCTGCCGTATCAACAAACGAAATTAACAAAAGACTTATCTCCGTTTTATTGACAATCAGCCGTAAACGAAAGACTTCATGCATGGCTGATTGTCAACGAAACGGAGTTAAGTCTTCTGTCAATTCTGTTTTTTGCTACGGCAGGCAGCCAGTGAAAACGAATTTGTTGGCTAAAATTATGAAAATGTAAGGGCTACTTTATAATTGTGATTAAGTTATGATAAAACATCGATAATTATCGGTTTCGTCTCTTCTGGGACGCACTGTATTGTCCTGGCCGGTCACTTTCCAGTGTTATATACACCAGCTGGTGAAATGAACATATATATATATATTTTATCAATGCATGTCGCCCTCTTAAGGACTATATGTCACCAATTACAACAATACCGATGGTCAATTTTGTTTACAATTCAGTTGTGAATTATTGATATGTAAACGCATTTTTTTCCTGTTCTATGTCAATTTAAATTGTATTTAAATAAATATGTTCTGTAACGTGATACAAATAATTGTATTGAGAATGGGACCATGGACCGGGTATAAATGTAAACATATCCATTTATTTGAAACAAATACTTGATAAAGACATTCCTGTTTTTCTCCCGGACTCAATGAGACCTTTGTATGTAGCTTTGTTTATG